TTACAGAGTGGAGAAGAAGGTTCCTCAATATACAGCAGTGGAAATAGAATAATATAAGCTACAGTAAACTACAGTGTAAAGGGGTGGTTATAGAGGTGTACTATGTGACCAGAATTTAAGATTACCTATGTTTTCCTTGTGACACTTTATGGAAGTGAAAGTTGGACTTTGAAAAAGCAGGTTAGAAAGGGTATTGACAGTTTTAACTTTGGTGTTGGAGAAGACTCCTGAAAATATCATAGACAGCCAAGAAAACAAACAAATGGATCATAGAATAAATCAATTCAGAGTTTTCACTTGAGGCACAAATGACCAGGCTCAAAACTATCATATTTTGGACACATTATGTGAAGACCTAGCTCTCTTGGGAAGTCCATAAAGCTGGGAAAAGTAGAAATAAAGAGAAGCGGGTGGCCAGCAGCAAGGTGGTTGGACTAGGTCACAGCAGCAATGGGTGGCACCTTTGAAAGACCTGAAGGGCCAGATTGGAGATAGGTCATCCAGAAGAAGGTCTATCTGTGTGGTTACTAAGCATGGCTGTCTATGATATTTTCAGGAGCTTGATGGCACATACTCAAATCAACCAATGTGCACCACTATTTTCCCCAAAAGCAAAGATCCCCAAATTTTCCATCCAAATACAGCTCCCAATTTGTAGCCACATCTGGTTGGGGGTCCTCAGCTCTCCCAAACATTTTCACTTCTCCTTTGGTTGACTTGATGGGCCCAGCTCTGGACTTAATTATCATATACCCCTCTTCCCATTTGACATATATATTACAAACTTTGCTTTACTTAAAATGTAGCAAACCAGCCTTGCTGCACTGAGTTCCCCCTGCTGGGGATTTTAGGGTCCTGGATTGGTGCCCTAAAGTCCTACTCCAAGAGCATAATTGACTGAAGTGATTTGTGAGTAGAACAATCTAGGAGAACCAATGTGGTGCAATGGTGAAGGTGTTGCACTGGGAGTGCCAAGACAAACCTGGGTCTGCCCTCAGCCATGGAAATTCCCTGGATCATTTTGGGCCACTCACTCTCTCCCAGCCGATCCACATCACAAGGTGGGGGAAAGATTGCTGTACATACCCTCTTGAGTTCCTGCAGGAAAAGCAGGATATAAATCGAGCAAGTGAGTGCTCCAAATCTACCTTTCCCACCAGCTGTGCATTCTGCAAGGTGATAGAAACAGGGATGGCTGGAGCTCCCCTCCTCCATGACCCATCCGTGCATGTGTCTTCACTCTCTCTTCAGAGAAGTCAACCCGCTGCCCACTCCTCTAGTCCTGGTTGCAGTTTTGCAGGGCACAACATCCCCCTCCACAAGCCCAGCTCATTCCAAAGGATTTACTTAAAGCTCTTGCTTATTTTTCATCCTTGACTGCTGTTATATTGACATCCTCTTTAGATACTGTGCTGGCTCCAGGCAACTCACTAACCCCTTTCACAGGTCTCTAAATATAGTCCCAGCAGCTAAGCAAAATTCACTTAGCAGCCTGGCATTTGCAGAGCTGTGTACCAGCAGATCCTGGGGGCAGTTTGCAGGGAGAAGTCTTATGCAGAGGGAGAAAGGACTTGTATTTGAGGTTGATCAGCACCCTCTGGGCCAGTTCTATTGCAATCTTATTTCAATTTCAGCAACTCACATTGCTCATGAAATCCCTGCCTTTTTCTTTTCTTTTTTCCAGCCTGCCATTTCTTCTTGTTATATCACTTTTGCCCATTCTGATTCAGTCTTCAGTTGCTAATTCTGATGGCAACTGATTTTGCATGGTTCTTTGTTGGGTTTAACAGCAAACAGCTTGCAATTAAGTTCACACAATATGCTGGGAATAATCCTTGCTTTGCAAATCCATACAATGGCTTGGCTCCCGAACCATGCGAAACCAACCTGCATTATGGCGTTGAACCATAAGTGATGGAGCCTTTATGCTGCACTATGAGGGGATTTTGCTCAGTTCTGGCTCCTTGCAGAGTATGAACCCAGCCTCTATGCAGTCCCAACTCAGCATTCTGTGCACATCAGGACTTGTTCCACAAATGATGTGTAAAACAAACCCTGAATGCTGCAAGTGAATCCAGCCCAAGAATATATGGGATAGGTTCATGAGGACTGTTTGTAAGAGTAACTTTCAGGTTTAAACATTTCCATTGGAATAAGGGTGAAGGTCCTTCTCCTCTCTCTTGTGACAGAAGGACAGTTTGTATTTGTTCATGGATGGATGGATGGATGGATGGATGGATGGATGGATGGATAGATAGATAGATAGATAGATAGATAGATAGATAGATAGATAGATAGATAGATAGATAGATTGATTGATTGATTGATTG